ATCCAACATTTCAACCCCACTCAGCCCAAAGTTTAGTAAATCAATTCAATCATAATAGCCCCTAATTCACCCGGTTTAGCCTCTAAACAAGTCCAATAATACACATAGTCCTATGTAAGGATTAGGAAGTCACTTACCTTAGTTCAAGCCCAAGGAAAACCGGCAAGGGGCGGCCAAATGGCTGGTCAGGGCAGCGGCGGACTCGGCCCATGCATATGCACAGTATCCGGCTGGCCGGTCAAGCTCTCGGCACGGCCCTCGGCCACAGTCGGGACGCTCGGCCACGGCAAGGGCGAGCAGCTGAGTGACGGGCACGGCGGAGACGGGCAGCGGCTCGGCACAGGGCAAGGACGTTCGGCCAAGGCAAGGACAGCGGCCGACTGAGATGGGCAAGCGACTGGGACGGCTCGGCAAGGACTCAGCTAAGGGCCGAGAATAGGGGAGGGGCAGCATGGCGGTGGCCATAACGGCACCGGCGGTAGCAGGGGTGAGCAACGTCAGCACGACGGCTGGACGGTAATGGCGATGGGTGTGGCGGCCAGGGGGGGTGAATGGATGGGTTCACGGTGGGACGGCGGCGGCGAGCTGGAACATGGGCGACAGAGCAAGGGGGAGACGGAGGCGGTCGGGAGTGAGTCAAGAATGGCGAGCGGCGGCGGTCGCCGCGGCGGCGCCGGGAGTGAGCTGCCCGACGGCGCGGCGGTCGCCGGCCGAGCGTGGGCGCGGCGGTCGCCGGCGGCAGCAGCGCGGTCGCCGGCGGGCAGCAGCGGGCAGCGCGGCGACTAGACGGGCGGCGCGCGGTAGCTGGACGGCGAGCAAGAGGCGCGCACCGGAGGGGAAAGGGGGAGCTCGGCCACAACAAGGGAGAGGCTAGCAGCGACGATGGCAGCTGGCGAACGACCGGCGAGAGGCGGCTCCAACGGACGACCGACGAGCGGCGGCCCAGGTTGCTGCTGAACGGCAGCACACGGCGGCTAGGGCGAACAGCGGGGGGCGAGCGTCCGATAGAGCGGAGGAGAGAGCAATCGGGGCCGAAGGGAGAGAGAGAGGGAGGGAACGTGATGGGAGGGGGCGTGAGCAGGAAAAGAGGAGGGGGAGGGGACGTGACTGGGGGGGGGGAGAAGAGAGAGACACACACACAGACAAAAGTCAAACCTAGCACTCAAGTGCAATCCAATAGCCCACAAACGATCTTGGTGAACAAGTTTGATCCAACGGCCACCAAAATTCCCAAATTCGAAATTAAGAAAAAGGCTAAAAGACACTAAATAAAATAAACTAAGAGCAAGGTATACTGGTAAAAATCCGCATCCAGTCCAAATTTCACTTTCCGATAAATCTGGGCAATAACGATGCTGGCCACATTTATTTTGACGTCGTCTAATTAAATTTGTCACGAAACTCCGATAAATTCGACACCTAAGTTCGGACTCTAAATAACGGCCAGATTCGATCGAATGCGATTTTGGCGAATCTCAAATTTAAAAATAACCCAAGAGTGATCAGTTCCGGGTGAAATTTAACTATAAGCGCATTGACGAAATACATGTTTTATAAATCCAAAAAATGGGTCGAAATTCGGAATATCGCAGATCTTGTGTTGCCAGGTTATGTATTGGGGAAAAGTTTGGATTTGAAGTTGATGATGATCGATTTGAGGTGGATTTGAGAGGGAGGACATGTGCTTATAGGCAACGGGATATATCACGGGATATATCACATGTGCTTATATTCGATTCACGATACTTATCTCAATCAAACAGCTATGATTACTTTGCTTAAACTACCATAGTACCATAAAAGGATGTAAGAAGAACCAATGTGTTTTATCGCAAATAATTTATGATCCTCTTGGGGAGCGATTCTAATTTCTCATATGCACCCATTTTGCGTGAGCCAAATGCATATGCAAAATGACCATCAACAGAAGTTCACTTGATCCTGATTCCCGGAATGACACAAAATGGGTAGGTAGCAAATGCTTAGGGGTGAGAGACAACTTCCTTATGCCACTTCTCATTCCCTCTTTGTGTTGTGGTATCTAGCCAAATGGCAGCTGCTTTCTCTAGTTGCAGAAGATTTGGCATAGGACTTGCCCTGGAGATATTCCAAATTATCATAAAATTTAAATTGCTAAGTATCATTTGGTTAATTTTATTCACAAAATCAAAATGAGATCGTGCAAAGGTTCCCTGTTGGCGTTCAAACAAGCGAATTACTGTTTATCAATCTCATTTTTTTCTTCCAAAAATGCCCCTTAATATTTTGATACATCATGGTAGTCTAAGTCCTCAAATATGTTTAGCACTTCCTAAGTTCATTTTTGGTTGTAATCCAAGTTCATTTTTGGTTGAACCGCAGGAATTCCGTTTTGGTTGTAATCCAAGTTGAACACTAATGTAGAATCTCAGCTGCTTGTACTTTTTTTGTTGTAATCGAAAACAAAGAGTACAAGAATTTCGGTTTTAATCCAGGTTCCCTTTTGGTTGAACTGGAAGAGTTCCCTTTTGGTTGTAATCCAAGTTCAGTTTAATCTCCTGCTGCAAATATTGCGAAACTTGTCATTTACTTATATTAGTGTAACATGTATAGATATTGTCAAGTAAATTAGTGACATCCACCCACACAGGCACTTAATGGTACATAAAATTGATAAACTTGGATCTGCTAATACAATGGAATACAATTCAAGTTATATTTGCTAATACAATTGAGCAGAGTTGGTCTTACAATCCAACTCCAACAGCAGCATTGCACCCATCAATCCTATCAATACAACTATGCATCTATAATAGAGCTTTTCCTTTGCTTCCAGTTGAGATGCTTCCACTTTCACTTGTATCTTGTTCTGTCACTTCCATTTCTTTTCAGTACTGACAAAAAGTGCGAAGGAAATGAGAAGCTGCAGAGCGAGAGACCTGCTTTAGCATCTTTTGTATGTAGGAGACTAAAGTCAAGAGACCCTTCAATTTTCCCTACAAAAATAAGGCAACCGCTTTAACAGTCTACATGTCAGTTTTCCTTGAGCAAACCCGCTTAAGACCCAACGCGACTCCATTATCAAAGGTGGACAGCAAAACTTCGGTTTACCACAATCTCTTTTAACTCTTTTTTTGACCATTTCTCCCATCAAGTTTATTGGACAAACCGAGGTATGAAAAACACCACAAGCACTCCAGAAACTCTGTTTACGCAAATTCAAAGAATTACCGAGCTAGAATCGAGCTTCTTCGAGCAAGTCCCGAATCGAGCAAGTCTCGCATCGAGCAAATACGGCTTCAACAATAAGCCGACCAGCGAATGAAGCTTAGGACAGACAGGGAGGGAACATCGACCACTAGAGAACACGGAGGAACCAATCGAGAGAGCAAATGAGATTTTCCAAAGAGAGATACCGTGAATAAACCCTGGAATTTGAGGCAAATAAACTCTTCAATTCAATGAAAGAGAGAGGGGGACAAAGAGGAGAGACACAAAGCACGCTATTTGTGGCTTAAATGGCCATCAAAACGGCGTCGTTTTGGCTATACAAAAACCACTTCTACACCACATCATCATCATTTTGCCTCCATCGCCCACATAGGATTTTTAACGGCAGAACTGTAACAGAAAGTAAACATGTCATAAGGATATAAGTTTGAGATTTTTAGTATCATAAAAAAAATTAAAATAAATGTGTTAATTTGCATAGTTTGGTGTTTTTCGTCATTTTTGTACCCTTTCTTTTCTCATTTATGATAAATTGACAAAAGCCAAATTTAACATCTGCTTTGTTTTAGTCGCCTAACCATCATTAGCACCGTGTGACAACCCCAGATTTGGCTGCTGCCATTGATTCCTCTCTCTCTCTCTCTCTCTCTCTCTCTCTCTCTCTCTCTCTCTACGAGGAGATGGACTCATGTCACTAAAATGTGTTCTTATTATTGTCGTAGAAGCTGGAAGGGTCGTGTGTTGTTTGAGCAGTGACGAGTTCCTTCTTTTCGTCCAATCTCATGTAACACCTGACAAAACATGTGAATGAGGTCCTTGAAAGATGGTTTAGCCTACCAGAAAGTGCGAAGGAAATGAGAAGCTGCAGAGCGATGGGCCTGCTTTAGCATCATTATCTTTTTATATGCAGGAGATTAAAGTCAAGAGACTCTTCAATTTTCCCTACAAAGATAAGGCAACTGCTTTAACAATATATCATGTTCTAAAGTAGAATGAACTCGACCTGTCAGTTTTTCTTGAGCAAACGCGCTTAAGACCCAACGCGACTCCATTATCAAAGGTGGACAACAACACTTCGGTTTACCACAATCTCTTTTAACTCTTTTTTTTACCATTTCTCCCATCAAGTTTATTGGACAAACCGAGGTATGAAAAACTCCACAAGCACTCCAGAAACTCTGTTTACGCAAATTCAAAGAATTACCGAGCTAGAATCGAGCTTCTTTGAGCAAGTCCCGAATCGAGCAAGTCTCACATCGAGCAAATACAGCTTCAACAATGAGCCAACCAACGAATGAAGCTTAGGACAAACGAGGAGGGAACATCGACCACTAGAGAACACGGAGGAACCAATCGAAAGAGCAAATGAAATTTTCCAAAGAGAGATACCATAACCAAACCCTAGAATTTGGGGCAAATAAACTCTTCAATTCAACAAAAGAGAGAGAGGGACAAAGAGGAGAGACACAAAGCAACGCTGTGTGTGGCTTAAATGGCCATCAAAACGGCGTCGTTTTGGCTATAGGAAAACCACGTCACGCCACATCATTATCGTTTTACCTCCATCGTCCACATAAGATTTTTAATGACAGAACTGTAACGGAGGGTGGGCATATCATAAGGGTATAAGTTAAGGTTTGTAGTGTTACAAAAAAAATTAGAATAAATGTGTCATAATTTATATAGTTTGGGATTTTTCGTCACTTTTTTCACTTTCTTTACTCATTTATGATAAATTGACAAAAGCCAAATTTAACATCTGCTTTATTTTAGTCGCCTAACCATCATTAACACCGTGTGACAGCCCAGATTTGGCTGCTGCCATTGATCTCTCTCTCTCTCTCTCTCTCTCTCTCTCTCTCTCTCTCTACCAGGAGATGGACTCATGTCACTAAAATGTGTTCTTATTATTGTCGTAGAAGCTGGAAGGGTCGTGTGTTGTTTGAGCAGTGACGAGTTCCTTCTTTTCGTCCAATCTCATGTAACACCTGACAAAACATGTGAATGAGGACCTTGAAAGATGGTTTAGCCTACCAGGCGAGAGCAGTCAAGTCCGGCTTTGTCCCCAGCACTTTCTTGTTCAACCAGCTTATCCGCCTCTACTCCCAGAATGGCCTCTTGCGATATGCCCACAAGCTGTTCGACGAAATGCCTCAGCGGAATGTGTACTCTTGGAATGCCCTGATCTCGGCTTACGTAAAAGCTCGGAACTTGACCCGAGCGAGAGCATTGTTTGACTCCGCCACCGACAGGGACTTGGTGACTTGTAATTCGATACTGGCCGGCTACGTGACCGTCGAAGGACATGAGGATGATGCGCTCGGATGGTTTGGCAAGATGCAGTCGATGCGTGATCGTCTTAAGTTCGACGAGTTTACTTTGACAGCGATGCTTAACTTGGTGGCGAAGTTACGTGTGGGGTGTTATGGGACGCAGTTGCATGCTTATTTGGTGAGTACGGGGAATGATACGGATGGGTATGTCATGAGCTCCTTAATTGACATGTACTCTAAATGTGGGAGTTTCAGAGAAGCGTACAGGGTGTTCTGTGAATCAAAAGTGGAGGTTGATTTGGTTTCCAAGAATGCGATGATGGCAGCTTGTTGTAGGGAAGCTAAGATGGAAATGGCTTTGGATCTCTTCCAGAGATTGCCCAAGTTAAATGATACAGTGTCTTGGAATACTTTGATTTCCGGCTATGCACAGAATGGTTTTGAGGAGGAATCCTTGAATTTATTTATAAAAATGAGGGACGGTGGATTTAGGTGGAATGAGCACACATTCGCTAGTGTTCTGAATGCTTGCTCCAGCATGCGGAATTCAAAGCTTGGAAAGGAGATTCATGCTTGGGTTTTGAGAGATGGGTTGATATCAAATCTGTTTGTTAAGAGTGCCATAGTGGATGTTTACTGCAAGTGTGGAAATATGAAATATGCGGACTCAGTTTATGCGACAATTGAGTGTGAGAACTCCTTTTCGATAACTTCTATGATCGTGGGTCATTCATCTCAAGGTAACATGTCTGAAGCACGGAGACTTTTTGATTCTCTGACCGAAAAGAATTCTATCGTGTGGACAGCTTTGTTTACTGGTTACGTCAAAGCACAGCAATGTGAAGCTGTATTTGAACTGGTGAATGAATATAGAGGGAATGCAAACATTTCTTTTGATGCACCCATAATCATCTGCTTGCTAGGTGCCTGTGCATTGCAAGCGGCACTGGATTCTGGAAAACAAATTCATGCTTACTCACTGAGAACCGGAATGGAAATGGAGGAGAAGCTAATTAGTGCCACGATCGACATGTATTTTAAGTCTGGCAGTACTGGATATGCAGGAAAGATATTTCAAAAACTCACGGAAAGAGACTTGATTCTCTACAATATCATGATTTCCGGTTATGCAAATCATGGGCATGAAGATCAAGCTATGAAGCTGTATAAAGAAATGTTAAAAAGAGGATTGAAACCTGATGAGGTCACGTTTATTGCGCTTCTATCTGCTTGCCGTCATAGTGGGTTAGTAGAGATGGGGGAAAAGTATTTCAAGTCCATGGTAGAAGATTACGAAATAGTGCCTGAAATGGATCACTATGCCTGTATGATTGATCTGTATGGAAGGGCAAATCAACTAGAAAAAGCAATGGATCTCATGAAAAAAATTCCCAGGAATTCGGATGCTGTGATTTTAGGGGCTTTTTTGAATGCCTGTAAGATAAATAGGAACCTCAGCCTTGCAAGAGAAGCAGCAGAGCAACTGTTGCTTATTGAGGAAGATAATGGATCTCGGTATGTGCAGCTGGCAAATGCATATGCAGCAGAGCAAAATTGGGGGGAGATGCGCATGGTAAGAGAGAAAATGAGAGGGAAGGAAACCAAGAAGCTTGCTGGCTGCAGTTGGGTGTATCTTGAAAATGGAATTCATGCATTTACCTCTGGTGATACATCACATTCAAAAGCAGAGGCTATATATTCAATCTTGGAATTCCTATCTGCAGATTTACGTGCGCTATCCAATTCAAGTGTTGGAAAGATTACAAGTTTAACATCAACATAAGGGGACAGATGAATTCAAATGCTTGGGACAGGAAGGTCTACGGCTGCTTTCAAGAGCATAGATATTTAGAAGAGGATGAGGTACGGAACCGTGGACTGAAAATTTAATTTGATTTAGACTTTGCCCCCTCCTGTGTCATGATGGTATTGATATATCTCTTTACAAGATATTAGGTGTTCATTGTTCAAATAAAAACACAGCAACGAATTCAACTGTAGAATGGTGGGGGCTATTGCCCTCATCTCCATATTATTAAAACTAGCCGGTAGCCCGTGCATTGCACAGGTTTCTATAGCTCCACTGTGCATTAAATTTTTGTTAGGATGAGCATGTACTAAGAAAGTGGCATATATACATTAGATAGATTATTTCTGAAGGGGAGATGAGTGGGTGGACATAACTTTATAATCCTTGAATGTTATAAGAAAGCAAAAAATAAAAATAATACCATTAGAAAAGGTTCTCATGATATTATAAGAGTAAGTACATGCAAAAGAAAATACGTGGTGAAATTCCACTTTGCCGTGTTGACATGAATATCTGTTGGGAACGAAATGCATGAACTGCTTTTCAATTTACATCCGTACAACATTGAATATGAAAGAAAATTGTAGAAACATATTAAAAGGACAATGATAGGCTTGTAGGTTTGCTTGTCAGCCGCGAACATTCTTGCCGACAATACTCACTCTTGACACTATATCAAAAATCATGTTTTAATGCTCAATGGTAAAACATATATAATTTGAAGAAGGAAATGCACTCATCGGTGTACCACACTCTGGACGGTGGAGATAAAGAACAACTGTGATGGAAAAGAAGAACCACCGGATGAAGCTTTAGTGGCAAAGCTTGGTCATGCCAAAACCTTCAGGCTAACGGAGGTTTTGCTCGATTAGTGGAATTTTATTCTAATTTTATTCTAAAGTAGGATGGGCTGAAGATAACTGCTAGAGGATGAAGACGTATATATAGTTCCAGGATGTGGCTGGGGTAAAAGCCAATGCAACTTTATTTAAATGTCTTCTAACTATTCGTATTCTCTTCATCAATTATGCTTGTCATGTCTAATGCATAAACACCCACATTCAAGTTTTGCAAACACTCTTTCCTTATTTTGTAACTCTCAAACTCTCCATATTAGTCATTGATCCGCCATATACCATGCCTCGCTATCTCTCTCACAAATAGTATTAGTCTCTCTAAAAATCTGATGTGGTATCAAAGGAGAGTTTCTGAAAAAGCTGATGTCGAACTACCACAAGATTAGTTTGCTCGAGAATTGCATATATAGTTCAAGTTGTGAAAAGATTTTTATCAGTCACCTTTGGTTATGCCATTTGTTCAAATAAATAAATTTAGACAATTTATTATCAGTAGTTGGATTTGCCACTCTGAAAAAAGACAAACATTTACATTCACTCTGTACTAGAAAAACTTCTTAGACGCCATAAAAGAGGACTATTAGAATCTGTAAAATGTTATTGAGAAAAAATATTTGGTAGTAGAAATGTGATGGGAAACTTGCTCGTTGCTACTTCTATGGACAATTCTTATGTTTTGTTATTTTCCGACTGCTAGATTGTAGCACCTTCTTCAGAACCATCGGACAGGTTAACTTGCCGAAATCTGAGCTCGTCATGTTGCCGGTGATGATCTCATAAAGCAAGAGGCTCAATTTGCTGAAAATGGAAGAACCAGGAAAGAAGACCCTTTTCTGGAAGAAGACTGATAGCCTGCAGCTGGGACTTTCGTGGACTGTCCACTGTTTGCTAAGTAAGCCACCATTATCTCCAAGGACTTCCTGCAAACATGATGGCAAAGAAACTCGAGAAGTCGCTGTCTAAGACAAGCTTGTAAATGAATAAATGTATGAAAGTGCAACATCTTGAGGGCGAATAATGTGTACAATGGTCTTATAGTGGCTATCTGGATATGCTTATGTAGAATGCAGGTATGAATTGCCAGACAATGTCATGGTCATATCAAGCTGTCTCATTCTGGACGTATTTCATTCACAGTTTCAGCATGACAGTCTTTATGGCATCAGGAGAATAAGGCAGTTTTATCTGGTGTCCATGGTGAATTCCCCCTAAGGTGCCGCCTGAGCAAGTGCAAATTTGTTGAATTCATCTGAGTCATTACTCTTTGGAGCTTCTGGTGATCAGGGATGAGAACAAATATGCACCATGATGGACATAGCAACACTCTCCAAACTCCGTGCTGATGGTGTACGTCTGTGAAATATTATCTTGGGCATATGAGAAGAGTCACTTGTACTTTTCATGGTATGTGTATTTTCTGAGCTCATTTCTTCAAACCAATTGATGTCATACATTCAGAGAAATAAATATCCTGCAGTAATCATCCACTTTGCGTCTAATTTTCTCCCACAATTTGAATTACTTGAGATGATATCATTCCTTTGGATGCAATACTCCTGTCATACTCATGAATTTTTTATCATCCAGAACCCTTTATGTATAATATGTAAATTCCTGATGCAGATTAATTTTTCAGTGCGAGGAAGTTCAAGAGAGTGACATGAATTCAACTTGCAAAGCCAAAACAACTCCATTGGTGTCATAAGAACACTCAGAAAGTATGCCCAACATGAATATATACTTAGTAGATTCAACAGTACTTGATTCCAAGAGCTGCCTCTCAGATTTGCAAATTTCAGTCAATGTTCAAAGTTTAGTAAAAGGAAGACAGGCCTATCCTGACATGATTATGACGAAGCTAATCACAATGTACTGAACTTTTGAGATCTCTCTCTCTCTCTCTCTCTTCATGGTCTAATACAAGTTGCGGTGGTTCAACTATTGCGATTTTCCAAGTCAAATTGGAGCTTGAAACTATTGACTCGAGTAGCGGTAGCATTATCAAATAGTTGTTAATTCATTCATTAGTCAGCGTATGGCCCATAAAAAGAAAAAAAAATAAGGGTTAATACTACAAAAAACCCCAAACTAGTACACATGTGGTAAATTTATCTCAAACTACTTTTTTGATCACCAAAAACCCCAAATTGGTACACCTGTGACAATTTTACTCTCCATTAATTTTAGTTAAATTTAACAGTCAAATTTCTGAGTTAGATGATACGTTACAATTGACGGGTATACTAGTTTGGGGTTTTACCCTCCGTTTATTACAGGTGTACCAGTTTGTGATTTTTCGTGATATTAATCCAATTTAATAGAAGGTAAATTTGCCACAAATGTATCAGTTTGAGGTTTTTAGTGGTCAAAAAATTACTTTATGGTAAGTTTGTCACAAGTGTACCAGTTTGAGGTTTTTTATGAGGGTTAATACCACCAAAAATCCCAAACTGATACACGTGTGACAATTTTACCCCGAACTTTTTTTTTTACCATCAAAAACCCCAAACTGGTACACATGTGACAATTTTACCCAGAACATACCCCAAAAAATTTCAAACTGGTACACTTGTGACAATTTTACCCTGAACATACCACAAAAAACCCCAAACTGGTACATATGTGATAATTTTACCCTGAACTAAAATTTTAATTTTATTTTTTTGAATTTTTATTAATTTTTTTGTTTTTTCTTTTCTTTTCTTTTTCTTCATCTTCAACCTTTGGCCGGTCGCCGGACCGGCGACCGGCCAGAGGCGGAAGCCGGCGAGGTCGGCCCTGCCGGTTGCTGGCGAGGGCCGCCCTAGCCGGCGTCGGGCGAGGGCGACCCTCGCCTAAGTCAGGCGAGGGCGACCCTCGCCTGCGACGGGCGAGGGTTACCCTCGCCGACGTCAAGCTAGGCCAACCCTCACCTGGGCGGGCGAGGATAGCCCTCGCTCGACACCGACGAGAGCGGCCCTCGCCGGATCTGGCGAGGTCTGCCCTCGCCGGCGTCGGGCGAGGGCTGTCCTCACCCACCCAGGCGAGGTCGGCCCTCGCCCACCCAGGCGAAGGCGACCCTCGCCCGGCCGCCGGCAAGGGCGGCCGTCGCTGAGTCGGGCGAGGATCGACCTCGCTGGGCGGGCGAGGGCGCCCTCGCGCGGCAGCGCGGCGAGGGCCGACCTCGCTGGGCGGGCGAGGACAGCCCTGCCCGTGCCGGCGAGGGCCGCCCTCGCTGGGCGATCGAGGACGGCCCTCGCCCGACACCGGCGAGGGCCGCCTCGCCCGGATCCGGTGAGGCGACCACTCGCTTGAGTCGGGTGAGGGCAGCCCTCGCCAGCGGCCGGCGGGGCCGACCTCGCCGGCTTCCGCCTCTGGCCGGTCGCCGGACCGGCGATCGGCCAGAAGTTGAAGTTGAAGAAAAAAAAAAAGAAAAGAAAAGAAAAGAAAAAATAAAAAAATTCGAAAAAATAAAAAATATTATTAAAAAATTGTTAGTTCGGGGTAAAATTGTCACAGGTGTACCAGTTTGAGATTTTTCGTGGTCAAAAAAATAGTTTAGGGTAAATTTGTCACGGGTTTACCAGTTTGGAGTAAAATTGTCACAGGTGTTCTAGTTTGGGATTTTTGGTGGTAAAAAAAAAAGTTTGGGATAAAATAGTCACAGGTATACCAGTTTGGGGTTTTTGGTGGTCAAAAAAAAGTTCGGGGTAAAATTGTCACACATGTACCAGTTTAGGATTTTTGGTGGTATTAACCCTTTTTGTGATCAAAAAATTAGTTTAAGATAAATTTGTCATAAATATATCAATTTGGGATTTTTCGTGGTATTAACCCTACTAAAAAATAAAGGAATACTAGACATTAAGCATCAGTCAACCTTGGCGCTCCCCGCTAAATTGTCCAATGCAAGGTCAAACAAACCAGCGAACTAATGAGAGAGCATTGTCTAGCTTTGTCAGGTGATTATAGACTCTCACATATCATAACTGAGAAAATAGTTCGATGATGGTACTATTCAATATGACTTTACAAGTTAGTTGCTTGAGTTTTGAGTAACACCAATTTTTTGATCAATAGAGGTGGTTTTAACCGACGAATTGACTCTTGACAAGTGTTCCGTTTATGCGGACAGAGTAAGTGTAGGACTCAACGGGAAGACCCACTAAAACATGATTTCAAGGCCCGATCTATCCGGTTGAAAGCACTTGTCAAGAAGCCATTTTAGGACACCTCATTAGAAGAGAGAACGGTACGATCATTATTTGAAAAAAGGACTAGATATGCATCCCTAAGAGCAGTGTGAACACCACTTGTCGAAACATCTCATTCACTTGTTATGCGAAGGCCTTAATATGTTAAGCATCACTCGACAATTCATCAAAAGGGTAACCTATAAATAGTGATTCAAGTCCATAGGTATCAGCCTGGCCATTTTTATCTCCTTAATTTCTTCAAAAGTCTCTCTCTCTCTCAAATAATCACAAACTTAAGCATCTAAAGGTAAATCCGGATATAAAACCTGAATGCCTTGACCCGATTTTTTGTGCTGTAGGAAAATTTCCTGGTGAGAACTCCAACCAAGTTCACTGTTCCCATTTTGAGTTTTAACATTGACAATCAAGTTAGAGTCGAGCTCGAGGTGAATGAAATGTTCTATCGAGTCGAGTTTGAATTTAAAAATCCTAAACTCAATCCACTTAAAGTTGAGCATTCATCCATTATCCAATCAAGTCGAATGGAGGCAAATTGGAGTAGTAGACCCATGTCAACTCTAATCTCGAGTCAACTACATCCTTAAATAACAATCGTCCGCTAATTGCCAGTGTTCACATAGTTGGATCACACCAACCAATTCAACCGGCTGTCATTCGAAACCTCGGTCTGGATCATGTGTGCTGATGGACACAAAAATTGACGGAGTTAATCGGTTCTTTTGTCTAACTTCTTACCCGGGATGAAATCGCTCATAATTTAAATCAGCCAATGTGACTATTCAGACCAGTTGAACAGGTTGCAATGGCTATTCACATGCATACATTCCAATTTAATATTTCAAACAGAGACAGTCCCAAAAGCCGGTCAAGTCAAACATGAACAGTAATAGGGACGTGGACCCAGAAAGAGATTCACATGAACATCAAAATCTTCTCTTTTTTTAACACTTTATACGCATTGCTGTCCCATCTGCAGCTTCTTTCCATCTTTTCCTTTCTTTATTCATTCTTTTACCCTCTCTCTCTCTCGCTTCCGTCCTTGTCAAGATTTAAGAACGAACCGATAACAAACGAGGACGTACGACGATCATTCTGATCCGTGAAATAATCATTTGTGTCTCCAGTTTGAAGAAACTCATGTTTTTGTTGTTAAAGGGTTTGATTTATTAAAAAAAACACAAATCTAATTAAATTTAGGATTAATATTACGAAAAACTATAAATTTATATAAATTTATCTCAAATTAATTTTTTGACCATAAAAAACTCTAAAATGGTACATTTGTGATAAATTTACCTTTCGTTAGTTTACGTTAAATCGGATTAATATCACGAAAAATCACAAACTGGTACATATATGACAAATAGATGATAAAACTCCAAATCGATACACCTGTCAACCGTTACGTGTCATCCAACTCAGCAATTTAACGGAAACTAACGGACGATAAATTTATCACAAATATACTAATTTGGAATTTTTTGTGGTAAAAAAATTAGTTTGAGGTGAATTTGTTACAGGTGTATCAGTTTAGAGTTTTTCGTAATGTTAACCCTTTATTAAATATCATTTATATTATTTTATCGGAATGCTTGTGTGGGGGATGCATTTGTTCATTCTTTTTGGTTAAATTTATTTTTCCACTTATTTTTGTTGGATCACATTGGTTTGGCTATACGCTAAACCGAAAAGCTCCTTTTGAATTTGTCACTACAATTAAAAATAATACTCAACTTAAAAATTTGTGAAAATCCTCGAGTCGATTCCGAATTATTTTTTTTACAAATTGGGGATTTTCCTCAGCATTTATTACAAATTCGGTTTCAAAATTCTAAAAAAATAATTAGGTAGAAAATGTTCAAAACGAAAAAGCCGCGCCAAGCATTCACAATTACATTACCCCAAAAAGGTAACGAGACTTCACAACGCCCTTTTTGCTCAATCATACCCCAAAAACGAAAAAGCAACAAAAACAAAGAAACGAAGGAATAAAGAAAAAAACACAAAGGAAGAAGACAGCCTTCACGCTCCCTTCTTGTCTCGTCTGTTTCTCAGGGCATCGTCAGGTGCTTTCTTCTGCTCTGTGGAGAAAATGGGCTGTGCAACACCGTTTCCCACTCTCGAAATCTAAATGGGTTTCTTCTCCAAGGTGGGTTGATGCCAAATTTTTCCTGTTTTCTCAGGGATTTCTTGGCTTTCTTTAGCTTGTCTATCTTCTTGGTCCTCTGGTTTCTTCTTGTTTTTTTTTTTGTTGTTTTGTTTGTGGGCCGGTTCTTGGTTCTTTGATTCACTGTGCAATTCTTTCGTGTGGGTCTTGAAACTGTCAAGAATCTTGTGTTCTTGGCTGAGATCAGTAGCTGCACTTTGCTCTATCGATTCTTGAGACAGTTCAAGAGGAATGCAGCTGGTTTCTCTTCAATTTGGATGGCGTTCTTTCATTTGTTCATGTCATGCATTTCAAATGTTTTCCCAGATTCTTGCTTACTTTCTCTGGGCTCTCTATATTGAGCTTGTGAAGAAGTGAGATCAGCTGAGATTTGTTCTTTCCAGCTGGAATCTGCATATGTGCGCGTATGCACAAGACCTGCGCTTGGAATAACTCGAGATTTCGGATTGATGGGACGCGAAGATGATGTTTGAATTAACTGAAAAAGAAACTAGAAAGAGATGATCTATGCCTCACTGCTTCAGTTCTTAGGTTGAGATTTCCTGACATGGTATCATAGCCCGAAGGTCTAATGCGCATTCCCCTTTTCCATTCCCTTTCTATAAACAACACATTTAAACGGTTACTTTTAAAACCATAGGTGTTAGGTAGCTGATATGATTCGGGCTTGAGTCGTTCTATCATCCTTCACGTGGCGGGGCATGGTATAGATAAGATGATAAGTTTTATATAGCATTGTTATAGTCGAACTTAAATCTTTTCGGTGGAATTTTCAATGAGCATGTAGTTAAGCAAATTCTATTTGGTTGTTGCCTAATACGATTTCAGATTAGAGGTAGCTTTCAGTTGATAAGATCACAACGATGACCCACTGCTAGATGTAAACTCTTAGAATACCGAAAAACAAAGTTCTACAAGCGGAAATTGTAGAGTTATCATAGTAATGCTGCATTTTCCCTACATTCAGGCACTGGTGAGATGTATTTGAAGCAAGAATGAGCTCACTAACTTGGGTTTCTTCCCTATTAAGCTCTGTGGGTGTAACACCTCTGTTGTTTTTGGTACCGGTGCAGTTTTTCGGCGCAATTGTAGAAATTCATGTTTCAAATGTTTGCAGGTGGGGACTAGGTTAATTGGTTCCTGGTTTTAGCCACAAGCATGCAAGCTCGACCAGTAAGCCGCTGGAGATCTATTGTATCTCGTCGTATACGAGGAAAGTCTGGTGACTATTTCTGCTCGTTTCAAAAAGTGAAACCGGCGCCATATGGCCGAGGAAATGCTCCTGTTTTTCTGAATGTTTATGACTTGACAGCGGTTAATGATTACTTCTACTGGTCGGGAATCGGTGTTTTCCACTCTGGTGTTGAAGGTTGGTGGATTCACTTCTTTATAACCAGTCCAAGTTCTTTAATTTGTATGTCTGCTCATGTCCATGTGCATATCTATAGTAGTACAAGTATGATGCAACATCTCTGGGTATATTTTGCTATAACCAAGACTTAAAATCCACGCTTTCATTCTCGGGATATTTCAAGAGGCTGTTCCTTTTGAAAAAGCAGTGTATAGAACCTTGTCAACAAGAGAATACTTTTTCCACATCTCAAACGGGAAGCAATATGATAAATGTCCCTTATGCAGACTATTTTTGTTAGAATATAGCGTGTAGTTTGTCATTAAGCTTTTAAACAAACAGTTGTCCATTCAATTTCACCAGTGTAATAATGTCCCTTTCTATTCACATAGATGTGTTGACTTCCTACTCTGAAGCCTAACCGCAAGGGAGAAGTGATAAGATGGAAGATATAATCCGCATATTCTCTAATAATTGAGTTTTAGCGCAAGCAGTCATGCGCACAGCTTGAGAGTTTTATTTTGTTTGTCCTCTAAAATTTGACTTGTAGAACAAACAGTTGTGCTCTCAATTTTGAGAGTTTTATCTTGTATCGTTTGCTCACATGCATATATACTCTTATACAGTGCTTCTTTCCTTCCTTTGTATTTCTGAGTTGCGAGAATCACTACGCTCATGCAGTTTATGGCGTGGAATATGCTTTTGGAGCTCATGAGTATCCATCAAGTGGCGTGTTTGAAGTTGAACCGAGACAGTGTCCTGGCTTTAAGTTCAGGAAGTCCATACTTGTGGGGACAACAAGCTTGGATCCTATCCAGGTCAGAGATTTCATCGAGCGTCAATCTGCAAGCTATCATGGTGATATGTATCACTTGATCGTTAAGAACTGCAATCATTTCTGTGAAGACATGTGCTTCAAGCTCACTGGGAAGACTATTCCGAGATGGGTAAATCGACTCGCAAGAATAGGTATTGCCATTATCCTCCAACTCATCATGCACCATGTGTATCTAACTTTTATCTTCTCAGTTCGCACGGCTGATTGTATCTGACACACCATGACATTGAATTGAGGGTCTTTCTTCAAAAAGAAGGAGGTATAACATTGTGGCTTTAAGTCCTACTTAGCTCTAACTGACTAGCATCTTTTTTGCTGACGTTGAAGGTTCAATGTGCAACTGCATACTCCCCGAGGCTTTCAAGGTTCCCTCGCTATGCCACAACCCAAACTACCAAGGAGGCGAAAACGAGAGGAAGAAACTGAGGAGCGCTTTCGGTTGCTTGCCGTCGATCTCGTTACACGAGAAGGAAGTCTCCATGTCCTCGCTGTTTCTACATTCTCTTTACAAAGGCTGCTTGCCTCCCTGGGAGTTAAAGGCGCCCAAATCCAAAAGTCGCATGTCTAAAGAAGGGTAAAAACGCGTGTCATTTTTCTTTTGTCCCTTTGTTTCTATTTAATCTTTCATTAGATAGCCCGCCGTTCCATCTAGCGATTTTGTGATGCTCGCCGTAGCATATGGCTTGGCTTGAGGGGGTATGAGATTCTCATTTCAGATTGTGACTTTGATGTAAAAATAGAGTGGCTTGTATCAATTTCTTTGATGTTGCTGAGTTTGATCCCAGGTTAGAAATGGAACACACATGAATGATCAAGTCCTTGTACCAAAAGAACCAAAGCTGGCGGGGGCATGATCATGAATTGATGGACAATGAGATGACAGGGATTGTGATAAGTCTTGGTACTCATTTGCAGAATGAGATGCTGCAAGCTCTCTTTCTTCACATGTCTCTGGCTTTCTGACCATACCCCACTTGTCCAAATTAGACGACTGGACTTTGAGATATCTGATCTTTTAAATCATAGTCGTCCAATCACGAGGTGTCGGAAATTTAATGATTTGACCAAATCGATTAATGTTGCCGTAAAGATCAAGTCATAAACTTTCTAAGTTACAAGAATCACGGTGATCAGGTTTTTAACCAAAAAATTATCATAAATTTTTACTCGATTGTCTATTCAACTCGACTTTCGGAAATCTATGATCCCGATACTTCTTCGAAAATTGAATTGCATCTTAAATTAATTCAAGTAACGACTTTACTATGAGCATAAAATTCAGGTCAATTGGACGTTGGACAGTAAAATTATGCCCGGTCAAATTTTTGTCAAATTCGGTAATCAATAGAGATGTGCAAAACAGATTGCCTGGATCAGACCGGACCAGCTAGTTTGGTCCAGTTCCCAGGAGTGTTGGTCCGGTTCCCTGTTCCAAAGGAGAGCCGGACCAGAGTGACTATATATATATTTTAAATTTTTTTTTCAAAAAAAATAGTAAAGTGTGAACTAAATAAATTCATTGACAAAAATTAGTAAAATGTGAACTAAAACCCTAAGTGAACTTCATTGACATAAATTCATTGACAAAAATTAGTAAAATGTGAACTGAACCCTAAGTGTTTGACCAAAAAAAAAAAAATAAACCCTAAGTGACTGGTTCCATTGGGCTGGACCGGTTCGGTCCGGTTCTTGATCCTAGGACCAACTGGTCCGGTCCCCGGTTCCTAATTTTGGGAATCAATTCTCTCGGTCCGGTTCCCGATTTCACCTTGGAATCGAACCGATCACCTCTAGTAATCAACGTTAAATATCTCTTTTATGTTATGCTCTCAAATTCAAGTTACTAATTTCGCCTTTCTCTTTGCAACGTAATTATGGCGAAATTCCAGTGATTCTCAGGCATGTACTTATTGAAGAAAGGGGCACAATGTCAAGTAAGGGTTATAAAATCCCACTTAAATAAAATCATGTCGTCATAATGCTAGAAGTAGGCTAGAAATGGTGTGTTAGTTTCGCGGAAAATGAATGATTTGGAAAACATTTTTCCAAAAAATAATTGCTTATATCGTTTAGAAAACTTAGTCAATGAAAAATATTTTCATCATCGATAACAATCTATGCCTACATATTTTCGTGGGTGATGAAAAAATTGTCCATTTATTTATTTTTCTACACGATATAAGCAATCATTTTTCGAAAAATATTTTTCAAATCACTAATTTTTTGCTAAACGAACGCACCCTAAATAAATAGTCATTACTTTGCAGCTCTAAATTAGACTTTTCCTTGGATAAATAGGTTTTTGAGAAATATCGAAACTAAGTTTTGAGAAATACCAAAAACCTAAATACTTATATGACTGTTACTCTACTAAAATAAACCTATGAATTTTAATATTTTTCTCTAAGTTGTCATTGTGCTCGTTAATATGGACGTCATGATTTTCGAATTTTTTTTAAAAAAAAACTATGGTTATTTTCCTAAAAATATTTTCATCTTTCAAAATCAGTGTCATATATGGTGGAAAAGACGAAAACACCCATGTCTAAGTAGGCCAAACAATGACATGGCTCCATCAATTTTAAAACTAATTATGCATTCTTAAAGAAAAGGGTTAATACCACAAAAAACCCCAAATCGATACAATTGTGACAAATTTATTCCAAACTAATTTTTTGACCATCAAAAACTCCAAACTGGTACATCTGTGATAAATTTACCCTCCGTTAGTTTCCGTTAAATTTTACTGTCAATTTGCTAAGTTGGATGACACGTGGCAATTGACGGGTATACCGGTTTAGGGTTTTACCCATTTGTTTGTCACATATTTACCAATTTATGATTTTTCGTGACACTAATCTAATTTAACGGAGGGTAAATTTGTCATACGTATACCATTTTTGGGTTTTTGATGGTTAAAAAATTAGTTTTGGTAAATTTGTCATAGGTGTACTAGTTTGAGGTTTTTTGTGGTCAAAAAATTAATTTACGATAAATTTGTCATAAAAAAAATCGGTTTAGAGTTTTTCGTGATATTAACCCTAAATAAAACGCCACTTAGTCAATTGCATAGGGATATGCATCACAAATTGGTGCCCATGCATATATCTGCATGTCATTAATTCTATTTCAAAACACAAATACACACGGCACATGGAGTCATGACGGGCCGTAACGTAACGCGGGAATTTCGCCTTATTACGTCTTCGGAAAAATCGAAATTGCATCAATATCATAGGAAGTTATTTGATAATTGCATTGAACGGACTTACTTGAAAATGGGGTGTTAAAAGGGCGTCCATCGCTAACCCCTCTCCATGTGTACTAAACCCGCAGCGCAGTTGTTATATTTGTTTGCAAATGACCAATGCTTTTACACGTTCACCTAGGTATCCAATTAGGCTCAACTTTCTTAATAATCTCTCTTTTTTTCGAAAAAAAAATGAAGTTCCTTTTCCGTCGTTACTTTAAATTCACATGGCATTTTTATTTTAACTAATGAAACTCGGATAATTAGATGCTTACATTAAATGCTTGTAAGTTGCAAAAGTAAGTTTTCGCATGATAGATTAGATTGAATAATTTGGTAATGGCGAGGTGGGTTTGACCTATTAAGAAAATTCCAATAAACTGTCCATTTGAGAAAGAAATGTTTTGGGGAATATTGATCAAGTTGCTTGAATCAAAGGTCTTGTTTACTTATATATTCATTCATTCATTCTTATAACTTTGATTTCTCAATGAATGATGATTTAATAACAAGATTTATGTAGATGTGGGGGGTCACATGAACCTAATATTCAGTCTTTATGGAAATTATTTAAAATACTTAATACAAACGATTATTTTTACGAAAATATTTTTAAAAACATTCATTTTCTATGAAACAACCGAAACTTAAAATTTGACATTGTTTTCATGGTTTTAATTAATAGAAACGTACACATAAGTTAGGCCAGGAATTATTTAAGAGTTTATCTTTATAAATAAACTTATATGATGTAATATTTAAAGGGCATATATTAGTTCATAAGAACTACTAGCGCATCTCCATACGAAATGGTCACCCTCCCTAATGTCACATTCGTAGGAGTTGGAAATATTTGCTCCTAATGTCATTCTTTCTCTAACATTGATGGCAGCTTTTTTTGACTATATGAAAATATTTCATATCGTCATTTTAGGGATAACATTGAACATTTTCATATAATCCAGAAACTACTTTAAACATGTACAAAAATTTCAAGAACCACATTGAACAATTCAAAAGTTCAGAGGCTATATTTTCACATTAGGTTAAAATTCAGGGGCCACGTTCGGAAAAAATTAAAAGTTCAGAACCACATTACACATTTGGTTAATATTCAAAAATCAATTATATTATTTCCCCTTGGGTTAATATCGCGAAAAACCCCAAACTGGTACATTCATGACAAATTTACCCCGAACTAATTCTTTTACCATAAAAAACCTCAAACTGGTACACCTATGACATATTTACCATAAATTAATTTTTTAACCACCAAAAATCCTAATTTAGTACATTTGTGACAAATTTACTCTCTGTTAAATTGGATTAACATTACGAAAAATCGCAAAATGGTACACATGTGATAGAAGGAGGGTAAAACCCCAAATTAGTATATCCATCAACTACCACGTGTCATCTAATTCAGAAATTTGACTGTAAAATTTAACAGAAACTAAGAGAGGTTAAAATTTTTCAATTTGGGATTTTCGTGGTTAAAATATTAGTTCGGGATAAATTTATGTACCGGTTTGGAGTTTTTCGTGATATTAATCATTTCCTTTTGTATTTCGATCTTCTATTCAAAGCCAAAACGACAGCGTCTCCCTCTTCCCCGTTGCCCTCCCCCCTCCTCCTCGTCCCCCACCTCCCTCTTCAAGCTCTCGCCAAACCTTCGCTGCAAAACTCACAGAAAGAGTCAACGAGAGAGTCAATAGAGATAGAGAGAGAGAGAGAGATCGCACGGTCGCGGCCTGAACCCTAACTCCTCCGCCGGCGATGGCGAGATCTCCGATCCTCCCGGCGCTGACCTCCCTCCTCCTCCTCCTCCTCCCGGCGTTCCTCGCTGCCTCCCTCCCCCTCGAGAGCCCCAAGGGCCGCAAGGTCCTCGTCCTGCTCGACGACCTGGCCGTCAAGTCGTCCCACTCCCTCTACTTCCGCTCCCTCGAGTCCCGCGGCTACGACCTCGACTTCAAGCTCTCCGACGACCCCAAGATCGGCCTCCAGCGGTACGGCCAGTACCTGTACGACGGCCTCATCCTCTTCTGTCCGGCCACCGAGCGTGAGTTCCCTCGTCGCTCCGCCTTTTGGCTTCTTGCATGACGACTTCCGAGGTCGGGTTTGACTTGGCTCCGACGAATCCGGATACGCAGCAGCTCGCGCGTCGTTCAATTGACTCTTGACCAATTTCATTTTTGCGTGTTGTGTGATCGGTGGATGTAATCTGAGAAGTAGTTTGGTTGATGGCTTTTGCTTGCTTGGTGAATTAGGTTTTGGAGGATCTCTTGACCAGGCTGCCATTCTGGATTTTGTGGATTCGGGCCACGATTTGATTGTTGCTGCCGATGCTAATGCTTCGGATTTGATTCGAGAGATCGCTACCGAGTGCGGAGTTGATTTTGACGAGGTCTGCGTAGCTTCTTGCCTCTTTTCAGATTGTTGCTATGATATCGTGTTCTGTCACTCGAAGATTTTTAGTAGCGACTTCATCATGGGTTTTCTGTCGTGTGATTCGGTGTTTTCAAACGCAGCAGTTAGGTTGTAAATTTTGATATCTGTTTGGCCTTTCATTTGGATGCGGGAATGTTGGGTCATTTCATTGATCTTCACTGAATGTGGTGCAGGATCCCGTGGCTATGGTTATTGATCACGTTGGCTATGCAGTTTCGGACACAGAAGGAGACCATACACTGATTGCTGTGGATGATTTCATCGATTCTAGTGTCATTCTAGGGAATAAGAAAATCGAGGCAAGTTAAAAATCCTGTCTTTGGGTTAATTATGTGCATGACTTAGATGTTAGGTTGTTCTGGTTCATGGTTACTATGCTTATGTGATGTAATGACACTATCGTAGGATTAAAGTCATATCTTTCTTTACTGAGAGTTCCTTCTGGTGCTTTCTGTTATAGCAGTTGTTTTATTCGTTTCGGCTTTTTTAAATTGGTCAATGGTGTCGGTATTTAAATGTTTGACATGTCCCTGGTCATAATGATAACAAGATATAAAGTTGAGATCCTCCTCAGATGATTCTATTGATGCATGCTTTTGAGTATATAGTCCTGATCATTTCTGATAAAGGTCTGACACATGTTGTCAATATTATTTATGACTTTGGTTCAGTGACTATATTCTGCCTTAAGCGATATGCTTTTTATCTGATAAGTTCCCATGGTTCCAGGCTCCAGTACTTTTTCAGGGGATTGGACATTCATTAAATCCTTCCAACAATCTGGTAATGTGTTATCCTCTTTTGCTGTTACAAGTTTGCAATTTGCGTCATCTAGAAATGTTTGCTTTCAGTTCATTTTTGGTATTGAAAATAAACTATGGTATTTTGTGCACCATTTATAGGTCTTGAAGGTTCTTGCAGCTTCTCCTTCTGCCTACTCTGCTAATCCAAAGTCCAAGTTGTCAAATCCGCCATCACTTACTGGATCTGCTATATCACTGGTTTCAGTTGTGCAGGTTAGTTAAGTTGTTCTGGTTGGCACCTCGAAATTTGGTCTTTCACCTTGCCTTTGATGTCCTGGTTCTTCTTCTAGATAGTTTGCCATAAATTATAAGTGAAATTGGATTTCACAAACGCAGGATCTAATTTCTGCACATTATCGAGATAAAGCGTAGGTTTGCCTATATTTAGGCATTCATGGAGACTGGTTTTGCATTAGACAACGTGTGGTTATAAGTTTTGCTCGTTAAATTGACAATATTGTTATGTTGCTACTGCTATTTTATACATTGATAATTAGCTGGAGGAGTTGAAACAACATCTGAGATATTAGGCTTGATATTTTTTTCTTTTTGGTGGATGAGTATGTCAATTGGCTTTCTCATGAAATGCTTTTTGTTTTGGCGGATACCTTAACTTAAGTTTTACTTTATATTGTTCCCTAGTTGTCTCCTCTCACCTTCCTTTTGTATGCTTAGACATATTAGAGAATTTACTCCTGTTTGATATGAGTAGACTGCTGGGATGAGAAACACTGAGGCAATGAATATCTGAAGTATACTTATTAAAATGGCTAAATTCTTCGCTGAATTTCTTCTTGAACGATATCTCTTAGACAGGTCTTTTATTGCCATATAGTTTTTGTGCCGTGGCTACAAAATTTTTTATAGTATGGTTATATAGTCTACTTTTAGAATATTATTGAACTAACCATGGTTATTTCAAATACTAAAATCATGCTTAGGGTTGTGATAATACTTAGTTTTTTTTCTTGCAACGTGCCAGTACATTACTGTCGAAATGTGTTCAGTTTTTAAATTGTACACATGGGAAGGTTAGCTTGAATTTGTAGCCGCTTGTGGCCATACTGATTGTAGGACTCTTAAAAGTTGGGACGAGGAAGTGGGACTTATTCTTTTGGGGTCAGAGAGGAAGTTGGACTTGCACTGCATAAAATATGTGGGGTTCTGCCAATTCTTTTGGCAAAAAGAAGTGTCTTTGAGTAACTTTTTGAATGAAAGAATTGACAGTGCGTATCGTTTTAACTAAGATGGACATGCATATAATTCTACCTTGTCCTTTTACTTCTCATCCAATATGCAGCATGAGGGGACATTGGATTCAGTCGAGCATTTTCTCAATAGCTTCAGCCTTTTGTATTTTTTCTTTTATTGTGAAGTCCTTTAGTTAGAAATTCCTTTGCTTTTCGTTTCTGAATTCCTTGATTCTAGGATCCCTCTCTTTCTCTCTCTGTGCCGAAGGGAAGGCTCGTTTCTCATTGGACTTCCCTGTTCGCTTCTATATACTAGAATTCTTCACTCTTATCAGTAAACCTGCATTTGAAGTGGTTGATTTGTTTCTATAGTAGCAAGCAGTCCAACAATATTTCTCACTTTACATGCCTCGAATTTCAGGCGAGAAACAATGCTAGAGTATTGATTACCGGCTCATTGAGTATATTCAGCAATCGGTACGTATCAAAATTTAGGGATCTAATTTATCCTTTCCATCTTTCCATTTTCCAAGCTGATATCTGGTTGTTTATCAGATTGTTCAGATCAAGTGTGCAGAAGGCTGGGAGCTCAACCAGGTGGGTGAGGCTATGACTTCTTGTTATTTTTTGGTCTTTCTTTCTGATTGGCATTTTACTAAAGTAGGATTTATATTTCTGTTTCGTTTGGGGACCCTGCTTTATTTATTATATGTATGCAATCCTTCCTTGGAGCGTGAATATGCTCATCCTATGGGTTATCCTTACTACTAATGCCAGAATAAAGGGGGCTGGGGGAGGAAGAGAATGCATTATAGACTGCGATAGACATAGAAAATTTGTAGTGGAGGAAAAATTTGATCAACAATTACAAATAAATCAAGTGCAACATTTTAGTAATTAGAATAGTGTTCTTACCCTAAAAATTCCAATAAAAGGGAATATTTAATAGGTTTGATTTATCTGTGGCAGCTACAATATGATAATTCTAGAATTGCTTATTAAGTTTTATCAATTTGTGGGACACATTGAAGTGAAAATGTTGAATGTTGACTTAGCTATATACATTTATGAAAAATAAATGGGGGCAAAATTTAATTTTAGGTCAAAATATTGAATTGAAACTCGCATTTATTCAAAGTTCCCCACTATTGCATTTTCAGGTCGGTCCCTGGTTATAGATGCATGTTGAAGAAAGCTTCTGTTACCTTATATGATGTTAAGGGAATGAAAAACAAATTCCGTCTGTAGAGTTTGAGGTTTGAGTGCTGTAGTAACTTGATGAAGACTGAGCGAGCCAGTTTCTCTAAGCATTGCTGGCATGGTCAATCTTCTAGCTCACTGGTTGGGAAAAAATGTGCTAGTGTGTATATTGTCGTGTGTTCATGTCATTTGAATATGTTCTGCAATTTCAGAAAAAAATTGGCATTCTGCAATACCAAGAAAGTTAAATAAAGTTTATTTGAAGTTGTACGGCTTTTGTGTTCATAAGTGATAATAGATATTCTACTTATTTCAGTCTGATAGTCATTGGTCTCGGTTGTGTTAATGTGTCAAAACTGTTCTCTATACGATTTGAACTTGCACGGAATGCTTAAGCTGTTCGATGATGCTTTTCAAATTTTGTAATATGTGTAGGTATTATCTATACTGTTATATGTGGGATATGTCAATCAGGCTTAGATTTCAGAGAGTTCTTTGTAATTTATAGCTGCGGCCCATCCACTGCTTCAGGAAGGCAATGTTCATCATTTTGGACTGCGCATATTGGGCCATAATGTGGAGTTGCAGATTTTGGACATTAATTATAATCTTGAGGGTCTTCAATGTGGCGTTTGTTGTTTTCGGTTTACTTTATTTCCCAGATTGACGTGTGCATAAGATGTACAGAATGATTTTAGATGATATTATACTGGTGCATTACTTCAGGAATATTGCCAAATCTGCAGCTGGTACAGGAATTTGATGAATATGCTTTTGTGCAAACAGGCATGAGAAAGCAGGAAACGAGCAGTTCTTCACTGAAATTAGTAAATGGATATTCCATGAGAGAGGACATCTAAAGGTGAGACATTCAGTATAAATAGAGTGGCTGTACGTTTCTGGTATAAGGTATTTTCCTTGGTGAAATTGAGGTTTATTTGTGTCATCTGTGGAGTGGTAAAGTGCCTTATGGTTTTATCTGGGAATTATACCGGAAAAGGTTTCATCTGGATTACTTTTTAGTTCTCACATAACTGTTCATATCTGAAAATAGAGTGCAGCGGCATAGGGGGTCTTTGTTTGGATAAGCGCAATGGGATGATGCTTAGTTATTGTTCATTGCTGCTGCTATTTTATTTTCTATTTCTACTTCATCACCTTAAATCATTTCCCTATTGATAGGCTGTGAATGTGAAACACAATAAAGTTGGGGAAGCTGATGAACCTGCGATGTATAGGATCAATGATGACCTGGTAAGTTTATTCCTTCTGATTGTAATGTCTAAAAGAAAGATGGTTTGGGTTTTGAAAAGCAAAATTCCACTTCGATTGACATTTTGTTGTAGGAATACTCCATTGAGATATACGAATGGTCTGGAAGCAGCTGGCAACCATATGTTTCAGATGATGTTCAAGTTCAGTTTTACATGATGAGCCCTTATGTTTTGAAAACTTTATCTACTGACAAAAAGGTGATATAACTTTCAGTAACTCTTCACCTTCTGCCTTTCCTCATTCCAGAAATTTTATCAACTGTTATCATGTCTTCCTGCAGGGTGTCTATTCTACTTCATTTAAGGTTCCAGATGTCTATGGTGTTTTCCAGTTCAAGGTTGAATACCAAAGGCTTGGATACACTAGCTTGTCCCTAGCAAAGCAGGTATTTGACTCTTCCGCATTAGATATATATATTTTTTGATCTGAGCCTTGGATATCTTACTTATAGCTTATTTGCACTTTCCTTTTGTGTGAGCTTGTGAACCATCCATTGATCTGTCTGGATTCCACTATGTTGGTGGTTGGAAGGCATTTTCATTTCTTTGTGAGAGTCAATGATGGTGTGATTTTTCACCTTTGAAATAAGCTTCCTGGTATGGGTACTTGCCGGTAGCAACTGCAGAGAAGACGTAATTTGCGCAGTGCAAAGTAGTAGTCAACAACTGTAAACTGCAGTAGGTGTTGCTTGGTCAAGCACATGCTTATACAGGTCCTGTTTGAAGAAAAAAAATGACAAAAAGCAACCCACTGTCTGAAACCCATTTCTGCTATTCCAAGTGATGCCTGATAGAGCTACCTCCTGCTTGAGTTTGTAGATGGTCAAAGCTGATTTCATTGCCATATAAGAAGGCTTTAAGCAAAAAGTTGTTAAATCAAGAAGATATCTTTTACTTACCAAGAATGCATCCTCTGTGCCTAGAATTGAGCATTATTTTTGTGCTATCAGTTTGTTGTTCTTGTCTATTCCTGATGGACCTGAGGTATTTGTGTCAATAAAGTTCTATCTTCTAAGAAAGCATAAAAAATGATCAAACTTAATTATGTGAGCATAAATCCTTATCATCTGCTGTTTGAATACTTTTTTTATTTTGCTGTTTATCATATTGAAAGCCGTTGTGGCTCCGACAGCGCAGTCATATTGTTTTGGTTTCAATATTCCATTGCAGATTCCAGTACGACCTTTCAGACACAACGAGTATGAAAGATTTATTCCAGCTGCCTATCCCTATTATGGTGCAGCATTCTCTATGGTATGATCATGTGGACCACTAGTCTCTTGTTATGTTTTTCCCAAAATCTTTCTCTATGTTACACTTTTCCAGTGCGGTGGTAACACCCTCTTTCTTTTGGCATTGGACTGTGGGATTCGCACTGCATAGACTTTAATCCATCCGTGAAGTGTTCCCACTCTGCTCCTAGCTAATTAGATTAGGAAACTCTCACCATTGACATCACGTCTATGGTTGTGTAGTTGTACATAAACAGAAGCATCCAAGTGAGACTTTCCTTTTCCTTTTCTGGACACTAGACTTTCCCGTTCATTGTCAAGTTTTGTGTGGGATACGGGGGGCTAAAAGTTAAAACTGGAAATCAATTTTCAAATCACACCCCTACAAAACTTCTTCGTTGTTGGTTCTACAATTTTGTTATGTTTTGGAAAAAATTAAAACTAGTGAATTTAGTTTGGCTTTTAATTTGAATACAACTTCTTTTGTCTGTTTATTTACATATTTGAATCACTTGAAAATCATTTGGTCATAGGTTGCCAACTGTGCTCTTCATTGAGCTTAGATTACATTGCTAATTGTGGGTGAAAGATTAGACTCAGGTAGTGGTTTGGTTCAAAGTGAAAGCAATATGGTAAACTTTCATTAGTTTGATTTGGTTTTTGTTTGAGAGTTTTGGTATCCCCATAAACTCTACATCTGTTTGGTTAAAAAATTAAATTCCTCTCCAAATTAATCCAATTGAACTGTGAATGCTGCTAAGCCTGAACTTTTATTGGGGCCCAAATGATTGTTAACTTCATCTCAACATTACGAAGTCTCAGTTGACCGACACTATTTCTCTCTACAGCCTTACATATTTTTCTGACAGCGTTCCGTATTAATGCAGATGGCGGGCTTCTTTCTCTTCACCTTTGTCCACTTATACAACAAGTAGACGTATTACACTTTCCCCTTCTTGAGACCTAATTTTTGTAGAAGTTTTAGCACCTTATGTTCCAGAAATTCATGAAGATCCAACTTTTAAAGTATTGCAAGAGATGGATGACAAATTTTCCTCCAATTTTCCATATGCGATAGTAACTATTCATGTTTCATGTACAAAACATAAAGCCAGGTTGCGAATTTCTTACCTTTCAGCAACAACCTATCCCGTCTTTTTACCAGATGAAGATGCATCCATAAGAGCTACCTGCTATGAAGGTGAGGTAAGGGGAATTGCTACCTGATTGTATATCTCAAATGAAACCCTTGCATCACTTCCTTCCGATCCTGCCTCGTTGAAGCCTTCGTGCCATGGGTAAAATTTCATGTTTGGAACGTTCTCTTTCCATCAGTCAGCAACGCATCATACATTGCAGGACCACATCTTTTATCAGAGTGGTTTGAGGCTCAAGTATGTGTCCGGGATGGAGTTTGAAAGTAGCATGCTCATTAAGACATAGTCGACGACTTTGCGCGGTCGCAATATTTTCAAATGAAAGAGGAAATACAGACGGTTTGTGGCCGTCTTGAACATACTTTAGAGATCGAATGTGCTCTATCCATCGCCCGTGGACAAATAGATGGTCCTTGCCTTCTTGGTAGGACCGTGATTGCGTCCACTGGTTCGGGAGATTGAAGGTATCAGAAATGGATCTCTTTTAGCCCTGTACGTGAGTTATCCAGTTTCATGGTTTGTGACGAACAAACTCGACCTGGTTAGAGAACGACCCTTTATAGACATAGGATTGCTTTGAAGGAAACTGTTTCACTCTCTGCTCATTTGATATTGAATTCTGTACCAAAAAAAAAAAGAAAACAGCAAACACGGTACCCTAAGCTATTTTCAAGATGATACTTAGCTTGATGGTCTGTTACATGTCATAATCTTTAAGGAGGTACAGTATGTACGCGGAGTTATGATCTCGGACAGGCAAAACTAGCTTTCCACTTGTATTCGATCAAATCTATCAAGACAAAAAATCAGGGTGGGGGGGAAATGTTCACAAATTCCCTCGAAGTGGCAGTCATTTCTCAAAATTTTTCTCGGACTTAAGACTTTGTTTTAAAATACCCCATAAAGTTAGAAGGCCTTTGACTCAATGACCATTTGAAGGGGGCTCTCGTTTCTCAGGAACTCCATAAAGACTTGGATTTTGTTTTAAAAAGTTTTCTCGAATTTGATTGCTTTGACCAGAGAAGCTCCCCGAGCTCATCGTCATCGCCGTTGAAAAGAACGGTGGGCCGACCAAAATGTGCTCATCGCAGGCACATTTCGAGCCTGTCTTAGGGCCATTTTGGTCCAAAAAACCACCATGAACTTGAGCCGTACTTCCCGCATGTATGAAAGCCCCTACTGGGGTTCGCATCAGGTAACGATGTTCTCATTACTGCTCTCTTCTCGCATTTGTAGTGATTCTCCATTTCCATTTTTTCGATCTATGCTCGAGAAATCCTAACCCTTTCTCTTTGAACATTAAATTTGGGGCAATTTGAAGCTTTTAAATATTTTTTTATGTGCACGAGTCGTATTGGAAAAATCTTTTTTTGGGAATAAAATGCTCCCGAAAAAGACGACGTGTGCGTTGACGAGTAATCATCATGGGGATGTTGGACCAAATTGATCAACTTTAAGAGATATTTCGAAACAAAATCAAGTTTGGGAGGAATTTTGAGAAATGGGCGCCACTTTAAGGGTTTGTTTGAATTTTCCTAAAAAGAACTCTCTCTCTCTCTCTCTCTCTCTCAAGTGGGTCTCATGAGCGCCAATTGGTAATTGCATACCTCGGACGATGCTTCCGCTGCACAAAAAGTAGGTCTTTTTCCTTTCTTTCTTTTTCAATTTGAGGATTATGTGCCAAGCAATTCTTAGGATATCAGAAATCATATCTTTATCTTAGTAGGTCAATTTACCCGAATGGCTAATTGCAACCTAAGGTGTTTGGAAAAATCGCCTCGTTTAGGAGATCAAACGAACTTCATTGATTCCATGTCGTGCTTTTTCTGCTAAGCAAATAAAGATTAGATTAATAGTCGCACAAGTACTTAAGTAGTAAAGACACAATAGCCAATAGGCCGAACAACAAAATAGCAATGCCAAACACAAGCCCATGAAGGCTGGGAACAACAACAGGAACGAAGGTCAAAGGGCCCAGCACACATAATTTTAAAAAAAATCAAGGCCCAATGGACTGAGGATAAGCCCAATCCACAAGCCACTGGTCACCAACAGATGGAAAGCCCTAGCCGTAGCACCGGCAAGCGGCGATGGCGGTCAATAGTGATCGGCTGGTGGAGGGCGGTACCGAGCTGCGGTGATGATGGTAGAAGAAGAGGGCGGCATAAGGCAGCGGCAGAGGGACAAGGAAAGGCGAACATGCTGCGATAAGGAGGAGAAGCAACAGAAAGTTGTGGTGCAAGGTGTTGGGATGACAGAGGAAGCGAAAAATGCAATACTAAGTCGTGAAATTTATTTGCTACGAGAATGCGTGTTGAGACCCTACCTAGGTGAAATTTGAGAGAGTTTAACAGATTACTAGGCAAGCGCAAATAACTCTTTTCCCAGGTGGCACTTGCGGTTAGCATGGCTCTCCCAAGTCTTGTCAATTGTCACTTTGTTTCTCATTCATTGTTTGATCAAATTTATATTAGAATTGCTACTAACTTATTCTGGGCGGGTTACGAGCCAAGTAAGGCGTTTTGGGAGCCTAAGATTTTGGGAAGTTTAAAATAGAGCCTAGTTATAAAACCTCGGGAGAAGACCCTATGAGCTATGCATAAAAATTAAGCATGTTTTAATCTAATTAAGAAACTCAATTGATCTATGTGATGAGAGCTAAAGGATTGTTATGTGGTCTGCATACAAATGTGTTTTAAAAATTAAACATTGAAAGCTCATAAGCCTTTTCAAACATGGTTATATCGAGCTGGTTTGACATATATGGTGCACTAATTAATACACATTTTTCGAGCCGAAAAAATCTGGATGGGAACACGAGTCGTGGCTTTTTTTGTGCAATTCATATTCTGTCGTTACTATATATCGATAGCAAGTTAATTACCAAGAATGAAAGCATGTACCTATATGTATATATCATGGTGAAGAAGTGGTCTCCTTGCAAATGCTAATCGTACTTGAGTGTCAGCCTTCAATTCAAGAAGACTAGAGTAGAGAAGATGATGCAAGCTCACGTGTGGCTATGGCCTGCGTAATTGTTTAGATGCAATCGTACATTGTTTCGCGATTTCCATCACGAGATGTTTGTAATGGATGTGTGATTATATATGTTTGAGCTGAGAAATGTGAAGTGAAATGGGCATTGGATTTGCCCTTTCCTCCCCTTCAAAAATGTCCTCTAGAGGATCGAGTAAATTTTCCCCTCTTAACAGCAATGGGGGCGATGTAAAGTCTCTCTCACTCTTGGATGATGGCGGGCGGCGAAACGGTCGCTTGAGGGAGACTGGACCTTTGTCATTCTTGATCGCTGCCGCTCGGCCTTTTCGATAGCCTCTCTTTCTCTCTCTCTCTCAAGTATCTTTTAAATTCTATTGTTTCGGGAAAAATTTCGCGATAAAAGAAAACACTTTCTAGAAAATCATTTTTCAGAAAAATGTATTTCCCAAATTGAGAAATTCATTTTCTATATATTTTCTTTAATCATAAATAATTTTTTTATCCAAAAGGTAATTTTATCTTTGACCGTAAATGATTTTAAGTCCAACCAATCATTTTCAGTAAATCAAATGCGAGAAAGTTCAAAAAATTAAGCTGGTAATTCTTTCCTCATCATCCTTACGTGCAAACAAAATGCCTAATTCCAAAAAAAAAATATCACTTTACCTTGAGTGGTCATTTTGATCTGAACTTTTTTTTTATCTCATAAAAAATCACAAACTTTCACTTAAATCCCAAATCTGATTCAAACAAAATAAAAATTCCGCATCATGGGATCAGATTTGGGATTAGAATAAAAGTTGATGTTTTTTATGAAGATAAAAAAAAAGTTCGGGCCATAAAAGGTTGGTGCTTTATTTTTTCGGAAATAGCCCTAAAATAAAAAGAAAAATTTCTTTCTTTAGGGAAAAAAGAAGAGAAATTCACTCTTGACACGTAAAAATTATTTTCTCGTCAGCAAAAGCGTCATAATTATTTCGAAGCGATATAGAACGGCCGCATTTCTGGAAAAATCACGTACGGCGAAAAGTTCACCCCGTCGTCCGAACAGATCTCGTCTTCAATGCTCGCACAACGCAGAAGAAGAAGAAGAAGAAGAAGAAGAAGAAGACACAAAGCAAATCGATTCTTGAAGAATGGAGAAGCAAAGATTATATAGATCGATAGACGATCAAAATTCAAATTCATGTATGGGAAAGCTACTAGTAAACGCCCGAAGCGAGAGCAGAGCAGGCGTCATCAGCGAAGCCCCCAGAAGGCACTTTCATCTGGGCCTCCCATGAATCAGGCGAGCACGGGGGAAGAAGAAAACACACCAGCCCCCCCCTCAATCTCGCCTGGGATTAATGGAGGCCGCTTTCGAAGAAGAAGAAGAAGAAGAAGAAGGGAGGAAGGAAGGAAGGAGAGATGACGGATTCCATGGAGTCACGTGGAATTCACCTTCGAGCTGCTGCTGCTGCGAGCGACGCAGGGGCTGTTCTGGGTCGGCCGTGTGGCGACTTTTATAGCCGGCTTCAAGAACGCGAAACCCTAATGATCCTCGCTTGAAGTTGTCGTCTTTTGATGTTTAGGTCCCCGTGTTTATGCGTATTTCAAGATTCCGACCCCGCAGCTACTTTCCTTATTTTATTTTTCAATTGAGCCACTACTAGAGGTGACAAAATTAGGGGTGTGCATGGTCCGAGTGGGTGGTTCCCACCCTAAAATCGGAAAGTTGCCCACTAAGGACCGGTTCTTAAAAATTGAAACCGAGAACCGCCCGTTGGTTCCATGGATCCACCCGGGAACCGGACCGCCGGTCTAGTCCGGTTTCCGAATGGGTCCATGGAATCGGTCCTACCAAGTTTCACATGTTGGTATTGTAATATGCAACAAAGAATTACGCAACGGGAATAAATGATTCTAGAATAATTAAAATTATACATCACCAATATGTTCATACTACTATGATTTTTATTGATTTGGGGTGATTGATGCGGTGCAGCATCATTTCTGTGGTATTGAACAGTATAGATATTAAAGTGAACATGAAGATTTGAAAGACCTGTGGGTAAATAAAGTTAAACGAGAAAAGAGAGAGATGGACAGCTCCCTTACCATTCTGTCAAAACTTTTCTATATGTTATTATCCCACCTTCGCCAATTACCATCAAGAAAGCATGGGCTTTTGCTTAGTCTGGGCATCGAATGATAAGAGTGAGAGAGTGAGAGTATTGAGCGAGTTTCACAATTAGGGATTTAAGATTTTTTTTTTTTTTTTAAATAAAAAATAAAAAATAATATATAATATATAATATTATATTACCGGTCCGGTCCAGGTGGGTGGGCGGACGGTTCCACACCTGGAACCGGGAACCAGACCGGTACCCACAAGTTCCAATAATTTGGAACCGGGAATCGGACCGGTTCTCTTAGGAACCACCGGTTCTGGGCCGGTCCGGGCGGTTCCCGATTTTTTTGCACACCCCTAGGCAAAATGGGTTAAGAACCCATATTTTAACATATATTTAATTTTATGGATCATAAATGAGTTGACTTTAGTTTTAAAGATAATCTTAAATCGGTCGTCAATGGATTACTTAGTAACTTAATAGATTTTAAATGGGTCTTAAATAAGTCATAAATGGGTTGGCTTTAGTTTTAAATATAAGATCAAGTGAACCATAAACATGTCATTTTTAATTTCCTGATTCTTTAAATAATTTTTTATTTTTATTTTTATTTTTCTTCTTCCTCAGTCGGTGGCCAGCCACAGGCGTGGGATGAGCTCTCAGATTTGGCCTTGGCCTCGCCGGCCTTTGACGAGTCTTGAGCCTTGTCGATTTGGTAAGCCTTGAGCTCCCGGCCTCATCGACTTTTGGTGAGACTCAAGCTCCCCGGCGTTGGGCACGCTTTAGCTCGTAGATCCGACAAGGCTTGAAGCTCGCCAGAGGCCAGCAAGCTCATTCGTCGCTTGTGGCCGATTGCAGGCTATTGGCGTGGCCGACAATCGGCCGATGAAGAAGGAAAAAGAAAAGAATAAAAAAAAATTAACAAAAGATTTTTAAAAAAAGAAAAAAAGAAAAAGAAAAGAAAAAAAAATTATTAAAAGGAGTGCCAGTCGTCGGTTGCCGATTGTCGCCATATGTAGAAGAAAAAAAGGAAAATAAATAAATAAAAAGAAAAAAATATAAAATTTAAATTATAAATATTATCCACAGTATTTTAGCAATATATATTTTCAAAAATTTAATAGAAACAAGTTTTTTTAAACTGGATTTAATATTAAAATCTTTTAGCAATATGGGTCGGGTCGGATATGTGTAGGATAGGGTTTGGATCGCTAGATTTGCACTACATGATTATGGTTCAAAACGAGTTAAATGAGTCAATATGGGTCGGACCGTTTTTTACCCGACCCGACCCACCCGTTTGACACCCCTAGCTACTACTAAGGGCTCCTCTTGCCTTTCCTCTTTTTCTTTTGGGGTAATATCACGAAAAACTCCAAACTGATACACTTGTATCAAATTTACTTTCATTAGTTTCTGTTAAATTTTACCATCAAATTGTTAAGCAGGATGAGATGTGGCATACAATTTTGGGGTTTTACCCTTCGTTTATCACAGGTGTACCAATTTGTGATTTTTTGTGGTATTAATCCAATTTAACGAAAACTAATAGAGGGTAAATTTGTCACAAGTGTAGCAATTTAGGATTTTTTATGGTAAAAAAATTAGTTTGGGGTAAATTTATCACATGTGTATAAATTTGGGGTTTTTGATAGTCAAAAAATTAATTTGAGGTAAATTTTCTTTTTGGAGGAATTACACCCTTTTGGTTCCTCTAGTCCACCCATGGTGTTTTTTTATTTTTTTATTTTTTATCTTTGTCGAGTCAAAATTGTAATTCTATTACTGGTGTTTTGGGCAGATACACTTTTTGTTCGGCAAAAGGACACTATTGGTGTTATAACTTGTGTACGGAGATCACTTTGGTGCCATAACTTTTTTTCGGATCACTTTGGTGCCAACTTTTTTGAAAACGATCACTTTAGTGCCAATGCGACGTGGCGCCGAAATACGACGTGGCTCTTTTTTTATATTAATTTCTGATCTTTGATACATGGCTCATGGAAATCCGACATGGCTTTCATTGAAATCGACGCATGGCTTTTTTTGGCCGGAATTTTGGCCGGAGTCACTAAAGTGATCTTTTTCTCCGATTTTGGCACCAAAGTGATCCGAAAAAAAGTTATGGCACCAAAGTGATCTCCGTACACAAGTTATAGCACCAATAGTGTCCTTTTGCCCTTTTTGTTCAAAATTTGTTTGGAATCTGACGGGACTTGCCGAGTCAACACCGACTATTAACGCCACAACACATGATGCACATACATGAAGTGGGGGCACACTAGTTTTAGAGCAAGGGGCCAAGGTAGAAAGCAAAAGTAGCACAATCTTGGTGCATTAGAAGATGGAAGAGTTGGAGCCGGTCCATAAATTTTACTAAATAGCACCTAATTCGTGAAAATTGCACTAAACACTTGGCGACGGCACCGGCCAACTCTTCCTTCGGCCTGCTTCTGCCTACTTCATGTCCTTACAGAGCTTTCGGACTCTTTTAAATCGGACGGAGTCCTATTATCTTTGACAACATAATGGGGTATCCTAAAGCGGCGTATCCTATCATTTAGGAAAAAAAACTCTTATCGCTCGCGCTGTCATCTGAGGCTTTCTGCTTCTGCCCACTTGGTGAAATAGTCAACCACCACTATGACATGTTTCCTCCGGCGAGACGCATGCGGGAACAAACTGGATGTATCCATCCACCACTGCGCAAAGGGCCGAGGGCGTACTGATGGCCGTGCCATCCGGGGCAACGCATAACTATCCTTCGTGCAAGCTTTATTTGACTCCGTGAAATCAAAGCACACCCTCCATTTTGTGTTTCTTTTCGTTACGAGCACTGTGTTGGCCAGCAAATCTGGTTAGCTCGCCTTTCGTATGAAACCCGCTTCCCTTAACTGTGATACCTCAACGTTGATGGCTTTCTGCCGCTCCGTGGTGAAATTTTCTTCTTCTTTTTTGCTTCACTGGGAACTTTTGACAGATCTACAATCAATCGACGGCACATCACTGGAAGTTCAACTCTCGGGTACCTATTGGAACCCATGCAAGTACGTCGGCACATTCGCTTATATAATCCATGATCTCCTTCTCCAACCTTGGGTACATTGAGGTATCTGTTTGGAAGGTTTTTGAAGCGTCCCCTGGCTTGATTTCTAATTTGTTCGTGTCTTCAGATGGTTGGGATACTCATGCTCTCAGATCATATATCTAACCAGTCCACCATTAGGGTCTCCCTTAGCTTGGGATTTATTAAAGAAGTTACGTGGCAGCTTCTGGTTGTCTTTTGATCTCCTGTCTCGTCCCCGACTCCTTTCTTGGTGGGGAATTTCATACTCTGGTGGAAGGTGGAAATGATAGCTTGGATCACGTTTAGCGTCGGCCTTCCCAGGATCACATTATACATTAAGAGGAGCTTTACCACCATGAACTCTGTCACAACTGATAGAGAGCTAAAGGATTGTTAGGTGGGCGCAAATAGTCTCGCAAGGTGTTGCCTATGTTTTGCATGGACTCTCTCAAGCCCTGCTAATTGGAACTTGGTTTTGTTAGACAGCAAGACTATAGCTCAATAGAGATTTCCCCATGATTATTTTCCTGATTAGTCTCTGCATATTTTCTATTCCATAACTGAATTTGTTACTATAATTGGAGCCCTAGCACTACTCCTCTTCCCTGTATTTATTCCCATTCGTTTTCTTACAAAGAGATGTACTAAAATATTATTAAACACAATATACGGGAGCAATTATGGCTGCCTTTAGCCGCCACTCTTGTTGCCTTAAGATATTAATTTCTTGAGGTTTTACATGGTATCAGAGCTAACAATTGCGAAAGCATCATAGCCATGAGTTTCGATCTAAGTTCCTCCACAGAATTGAGTCCCGCGACTCCCGCTGCTGTTAGCATCTCAATGCCGTCCAGTTCAACAATCTTGTCTCTCACCAGCCCCATCATTCCATCATCTGGAAATCTCATGGAGTCATCCGTGTTGTCCAAATCTTGGGGTGAAATTCATCGGGGACAACTATGTGGTGTGGAAAGCTAGAATTCCTCCCCTTCCTTCGAGCAAATAAACTGATTTCGATCGTCGATGGAATGTTGCCATGTTCTCCACAATAGATTACTCAAACCAATACAGATGGTTCTTCCAATATTGTGCCCAATCCTGAATACGATAATTGGTATACACGGGACCAGATTGCTCTCGGGTGGATCTTAAGCACGACAGCCGAT